CTGTGACTTCGCCTTCGCAAAGCGATTTCACCATCGACGCAAGTGCTGCTTCTTCAGGATAGCGCAAGCGGTCTGGGTTTCACCATCCTCCAGCATCGTTCCCGTGCACTTTTGAGCAGAGGAACACTTCCTCCACTCGAAAGCGCACGGGACACACATTCTGCTTCTGTTCAGAATCGTAGTGACGTTTTAATGCGACATGGCGACACGACGGGTATGTGAGAAAAAAGATGTGGTTCGCCGCGCTGGTGGGCGCTGCGCGTTTCGTCGCGCCTCCAAATGACGATGTTCAGATTTTAGATGGAGACAACAGACCATGTATTCCCGAAAATAGCTACAAATGTGTACGATACTGAGGTCTACATGGTCTATAAGAAACCCACTGCCTCACACAGCAAGCTAATGAATGTTGAGAAACGCTGCGCCCATCGCCGCGCGCGACGGAGTGGCAATTACGATCTTCTCGACCATCTGATACGGCCTGCCAGGTCACTCAACGCCCAAGTCAGTGCTTTTATTCGCCCACATGAGGCTGGTACCAATTAACCGGCACGGTGATAACTTCCTCGGTGTGAGAGGGAGGCGGTCCGGAATTTGCCCTCAGTGCAGGGTGAACGAGCCGTTGCCACTAAATTATCGCCGTACCTCAAGATTAGTGATATTACCGGTGTAAAATTGATGGTACACTGCATGAATACCCGAACTATGGTGATCCGCAATATATGAAGGGTAAAGCATATTCAAAAGCAATGTGTAGGAGTCACAAATGACATTAGAATTCATCGATTTCAGGAAGAGAACTTGAAACAACACTTACACAGTCACAAACTTCATGAGCTATGCGAACATCTTCGGCAACAGATTCCACATAGTCCCATGATAAATGTCTAGGTTTGAATTCAGAAGCGTTGTCATTCAGATATAGCGATGATCGGAGGGGTAATCGCACAGCGTCTTTGTGATTACCAACAACGCATTCCGATACGTAATGGAATATGGGCAACCATTCCGGTCGAGAACGAGCAGCGGTCTCTCTACAAAAAGGAATCAATGAGGACCTTTTTTATATAAGTTGCCGAATATCTAAATAAGACTGCTGAGAACGCAATTGCTCAGCGATGTCATTGACGAGGTATCTATGGCCGTTACTGCGAGCTCCAGCAAAAGTGTATACCCTCATAGGTAGTTACTACTCAATAAGTAGTAACTAATGTTGAGGCTCCGAATCACAAGTTCTATTAATATAATTACGATCCTACTATATATAATCCGCTAAGTATGTCTGTATGTGTGTGTGTGCGTCCGTCTGTTTGTCACGAAATTCATAGCGCCGGTCCCAGTAGCAGTGAGACATTGATTTCAAGAAGTGATGTAGGGGGTGTGACGGGAACACATTGGTGGGTGACAGGGAAGTGATATCAGCTGATAAGATCCGATAAGAGGCGTCAGAAGGGGAGGTCACCGAGTCCATAGCGCGGGTCACAGCAACAGTGGGACGTTGGTTCCAAGGTATGATGTAGGGTGTGGGACAGGAAATTATTGGTGGGTGGCAGGGAGTGATATCAGTCTGATAAGATCTGATAAGAGGCGTCAGAAGGTGGAAGTCACTGAGCCCATAGCGCGAGGTCACAGCAATAGTGAGGACGTTAGTTCCAAGGTATGATGTAGGGTGTGGGACAGGAACATTATTGGTGGGTGATAAGAAGTGCTAACAGCTGTTAAGATTTGATAAGGGTAGTTAGAATGGGAAGGTCACATACTCATAACGCGGGATACAGCATCAGCTAGGTGCTGATTACAGCAAATGGTATGGAATGGTAGATGGGGACATCGACAGCGAGCTACAGGAAGTGATAACAGCTGGTAGGGGCTGACAAGGAACGTTGCCGTTGTTGTTCAGTCAAAAGGCTGGAGCCTTTACACTATCAAATCATAGAGTTTCATTGATAGGGACATTGATGACGGGTGACAGGCAACCTTATCAATTGATGAAAAAAATAAAAAAGCATTTTGACTATATCTCTTATTTGTTCATTTAGCCGTCGCCCCGTGAAAAGGAGCAGGCAGCAATTATCGATTTTGAAACTGACTCTAACGAAGTTAGGAGGCAAAAGTAGATGACCACCATTTAAAACCATGGGGAATTTTCAGGATGCATGTTTAGTTCATAGTTCACTGACAGATAGTGCGGCAAAAGGCTCATGAGCAAGAGCATTTACAAGATACAGGAAAGCAATAAGGTTGCGTTCATACTTTGCGGAAGCGTCCACCAGCGACTAGCAGCGTCTCGAAGGCTACGGTAGTACAGGTAGGATCTAGCGCCGCCAGCGTCTACCAGCGTCCAAGAATAAATATCATGGGAAAATATTAGGTTGTCCGGAAAGTTCTCAGCGTTTTGTGCACCTATTTTTTGTACATTCACTGCTGATTAAAAACTCATTCTGCCTTGCTTCTCAGCACATCCTGTAGAGAATTTCTTGCGCTATCTGATGGTATAATTGCCGTTTCACCATTGCTTGATAAACCCTCTTTTTTCAAGATTTTTTCAAGCATGTGAAAAGAGCACTTCGGACGATTTTTTTCTTCGACTATAAATTGGGGCAATCCGCAATCGAAACAGCTCAACAAATTAACAGGTGTGGGGGCCCAATAGTGCTAGAGAAAGCACTGTGCGGCAATGGCTCAACAAATTTCGTTCTGGAGATTTCAGCCTTGAAGATGAACCTCATAGCGGTCGACCTAAAGCAATATCTGACGAGGATTTTAGGGGGATTTTGGAGGCTGACCCATCCCAAACAGTTCGAGAGATAGCAGAAGAGCTAGGCGTTGGCAAATCCACTGTTGCAGATGGTCTGGAACGCATTGGGAAGGTGAAAAAACTCGACAATTGGGTGCCCACAATCGGAGTGACCGGCAGGAATCGGCACGTCTCGAGGTTCCTTCTGCATTGCTTTTGCGCAGCAGAAACGACCTGTTTTTGGGCCGAATTGTCACCTGTGAAAAATGGGTCATGTATGATAACAGGAGACGTTCCGGACAGTGGTTGGATTTCGACGAACCACCGAGGTAATTTTCAAAGCCGAACCCTCACGAAAAAAAGATTCTGGTCAGGCTTGGTGGTCATCGGCTGGTGTGATCCACTATAACTTTTTATCACCAGGCCAAACCATCACAGCAGAACCCTGTGAAGAAATCGACGAATTGTACCGAAAATTTTGTCAGATGCAGCCAACACTTATCAAAAGAAAGGGTCCGATTCCTTTGCATGACAACGCCACACGTTTCACAAATCACTATCCATAAATTGAACGAATTGGGGGTTGAAGTTCTACCTCAACCGCCATATTCTCCAGACCTTCCACCAACTGAATATTCCCTTTTCAAACATTTTCAGAACTTCCTTGCTGGGAAATACTTCATCAAACAGGACCAGACAAAAAAAGCCTTCGTGGATTTCGTGAATTTTCGACCACCCAGTTTTTTACTTTGATGGGATTTCTCGACTGCTGTCACATTGGCAAAAGTGTGCTGATTCGAATGGTGCCTATTTCGATTAAATCCGATGAGTATTAAAAAGTTACGATCGTTTAAAGTGAAACACCCAAAACGCTGAGAACTTTCCGGACAACCTAATACGAAAATAGCAGACGGCTGGCGGAGTATGAGAAGTAGACTTGAGCAGACAGCTGGATTAGGCGTCGTGGAATTGCGGTGTGAGCACGAAACACTACATTAAATTGCATAATTCTGTGCTTTAGCAGTTGTACGGTGCGGCTGCACACGCGGCAATTTCGCGGCCTTCATCTCGCTGTCTGCTATCTCCTACTTGCCCATACTCTAGGAGCACCTTCCCACTGCCGCAAAGTATTGGGTTGGGGGGAGAGTTGTGTCATATTTCTTTCAAATTTGGCTTTCTTTTTACCCTCACACTTCCCCATACTCTCCAGTTCTAGACGTTGGTGGACAATGGTGGACACTAGCGTTCACAAGACCGAAATCCATATCTTCCTAGTCGTTGGTGGACGCTGGAGGACGCTGCCGTTCGCTACATCGGTATCCATACTCTCGTAGCCGCTGATGGACACTCAGAACGTTGATGTCGCTGGTGGACGCTGTCGCAAAGTATGAAGCAGCCTTACAGAATACGGAAAACTTCTGAACTCACGCTTCAAGTAAACAAGCTATCGTGTCATCTTCCGGTAAACAAAGATTACCTACAAACGCTTCATGTCGCCCGCAATCCATCACCTAAAAAAACTACAGCTAATGAATCGCGCTGGTTCCGTTCAGACCTGAGATACCCACAAATGTAGAGAGAAGCTGGATGTCAAAGTTGTCGGGAAGAACTCGAGCGCGACAAATGGCGATCATCACATCAGCAAAGCGCAGAAGCGATCCTATGTATAGTGCGCTTTGCTTGCCCAGAGCCTATAAAATGGATCAATGCAAAAAAAAGTCGTAATAAAACAAGTTCTATCATTTAAACCTAGGAAAAATTACCTCCATCACAACACCTGCGAATAGAATCTTTACGTTTCTTGCTTCGGTATCATCGGAATCCGTGAGAAAGTCATCCAGGAGTTCAGGAAAATCTTCTTCGAAGTGGTTGACAGCATCAAGGACTTTGTTCTGGTCCACCATGAAATGTTCCTTAACACTATACAAACCGCGGCGTCGAAGTATATTCGCGGCTTCCACCCTAAAACGTACAATATCATAGGAAACACGAAAATGGATCAAAAATGCGAGTATGACTTACAAAATTGCAGAAAGAACAACGGGATCTTTTGATCCCTCTCCCTCAGCTATGCTTAGGTCATCTTCCTCACTGTCACTATCTAATGACTCGTCCACGAAATTAATGCTGAAAGTAGCTCAATCCTTCAAGGTTAAATATCTCACCGCCACAGTAAGTTCGAACGTAAAACCCACGGCAAAATGTCGAATGGCCAGAGTTCTTCTTCAGTTCCATTCAAAAAACGCACAAGCTTGAAATGATCCGACGATGAGAATAATTATGGGAAGGAAAATACTTGATTAGTGAACAAATACTTACTTGTTTTCCATTTTTAAGATCAGCAACAACTTGAAAAGCTATGTCTCGCATATCGTTAGACGGGTGGTGGATGCTGACCCCATAGTTCCCAACGAATAGGCTTAAATGAGATGACTAAGTACGCTGTATCAGATTGCTGAGATGGCGGAGCCAGGAGACGACGTCGTTGTTGCCCCAGGGCGGTTCGGCGAGGGGGGGGGGTGGGGGAATTTTGTCCTTTTGCTACTTCCTATCCTTTGGTGGTGACGTCTGTTCCTCCAAGTGGTGCCACCGGGACCTGCTCGCTTTTGCGGGCTGAGCAGAACACGGACAAACACGAAGCAGGCGACAGGCCTTCGTGACGGGCCGGCTTACGAACACCCCATGTCACATCATCATGTTTAACATTCCC